ATGTTAATGCATATGTTATGGTGTGTGTGGCAATGACTATAAATGTTTCCAATGATGGAAGTTTACAAAGAATGTGACTCATATACATGAAATGTTGATTATGTGTATCTTTGTTAGCATCCATTTGTATGAGCTGCAATGTATGAATCAAAGCTCTTTAATCTACAAAGTTATTCCATACAACATGGATTTGTTGCCATAGCATTTATCATGCCAAGTCTAGCCCTAGTTCATTGCTGAATTAAATAATACATCTCCAAGCAGCTATATATACAGCAGAAATTTTGTAATATATTCCTTGGCAGAGAATCTGTGTCAATATAGCAGCCATTCTCACCCTGCAAACCATGGAATGTTTTTTTTAATGTCTTCAGTTGTGTCTGGGATGCAGAGAGTAGTATACCTTTTGCCTCTTATGTTTACATATTTTTTAATTTTTGACTCCTTTTAGCTTAATTTAAATGGCTTTTTCTATTGCTTCCTCATATTTTTAGTAACTAAATAATAGGCATCATTTTCATCGTTCTCTTACATAATGTCTGTTCTCTTTGAGTCAAAATCTGAACTATATTTCTATAGGACCATCAAATGTTAAAGGAGGGTCAGCTCTGGGATGTCTAGATTCAAGATTTCTTATATGGACTTTCGCATGGCCATAGAGTGTCTAAGCATCCGTGCACGGCATTCATCTTCTGTAATGATGGACAGAGGTGCACTACGCAACACCACTGGTGAGAACAGAGTTAAAATCAATCCTTCCCTAGAATTTAGGCATAAAAAGGAATAGAAGAATATGAAGCACAGTGCAGAAACAGTCAGGATGGTACTAACACAATAGCTAGGTTTTAATGGTGTATCCCTTCATGCACATTTTAAGAGAAAACTGCAAATGCTATGAAGTTTTGGATTAGAATTCAGTTCTGCAAAGTTTTGAGTCATGTTCTGTGTCATGGAAAAAATCTGCTTGTAAATTTATGTGAAGAATGACTAACATCTAGTGAGGGTTAGGCATGCCATAGGTCTGAACTATTTCACAGAATCATAGAATCAAGTAGGTTGGAAAAACCTCCAAGATCATTAACTCCAACCTTTGACCAAACACCACCATGTCAATTAAATCATAGCACTAAGTGCCATGTCTAATTGTTTCTTGAACAACTTCAGGAATGGTGACTCCACTACTTCCCTGGGCAGCCCATTCCAATTCTTAAACATCCTTTCATTGAAGGATGCTGTTTGCTGATGTCCAGCTGAACTTCCCCTGGCACAGCTTGATGCCATTTTCTCTTGTCCTGTCACTAGCTGCCTGGCAGAAGAGACTGGTCCCCACCTTAGTACAACCTCCTTCCAGGTAGTTGTAGAGAGCAATAAGGCCTCTCCTGAGCCTCCTTTTCTCCAGGCTAAACAACCCCAGCTCCCTCAGCAGCTCCTTGCATCACCTACTCTCTAGATTCTTCACCGGCTTCGCTGGTCTTCTCTAGACCTGCTCTAACCCCTCAATGTCCTTCTTGTAGTGAAGGGGCCAGAAATGGATACATTACTCAAGATGCAACCTCACCAGTGGTGAGTACAGAGGGACAATCACTTCACTGGTCTTGCTGTCCACACTATTTTTGATTGATGCCTTAAGCCCCTAATGGTTTTTTATTTTTCTAATTCTTGGAAGCCTTATAAGTTTATAAGTAGTGGAAGTAGATTTTAAAAGCAGCCCCTTATCCCTCTAGCCAGTAGCACCCTTTAGTTTACAAATTCCTTAACCCTCTTACCCCATTCCATGTACCGTATATCAACCCTACCCCCATACCCAGTAGAAAATGTTTAATCTCTTGTCAAGGCAAGGCCTGTCCTGTTTGGAGAATGCTTGTATCTTGGCCTAAACCACAGAACAGAGTCAAAGAACTGGGTGACTCTGTGCTTTCTGTACCCCAAAGAAGATGAAGATTGATGAAGACAGGGTCTCAAAGCCCCCAGACCCAATTCCCCAGGGGGTGGGCCAGGGGGTGGACCAGAGCAAAAGTTACGGGGTGGAAACACTTGAGATTGGACAGATATTGTTATAAAATGTAACATCTCAGGCACAGCCAGGCACATCCTTTAACATCTTTTGCCTTGGCGTAATTAAACCCTTTCCTTATCTCACCCTCGATTAATGGCTCCTGAATTTTTTCTTAGCACCAGCTGAGCAGGCATCATGATACAGACCAACATGTCATTGGCCTTCTTGGCTACTTGGGCATGCTGCTGGCTCAACCAGCACTCCCAGGTCCTTTTCTTCCAGGCAGCTTTCCAGCCATTCTTCCCCAAGACCTGTATCACTGCATGGGGTTGTTGTGACCAAAGTGCAGGACCCAGCACCTCACCTTACTGAACTCGATACCGTTGGCCTTGGCCCATCAATCCAGTTTGTCCAGATTCCTCTGCAGAGTTTTCCTACCCTCCAGCAGATTGACGCTCCCATCCAACTTAGTGTTGTCTGCAAACTTACTGAGTACTTACTTGTACTGATTAAGGCAGAAATATACAGTGTCTGAAGCAAAAAGTGGTTCTTGGGCTTGCAGGAATGCTTCTTGCTTTCGCCTCATAAATTCTGCCACTCTGCCATGACAGGCATCTGAATAATTTCTCAGACAGCACTAATTTTAATTACTTGTATCCGTCATTACCAACAGAAATGTGGCAAGAGACCTGTACTGTTTTTTTATCAGGTTATGACACAGGTGACACAATTTTGTTTTAAATGGGGAGTTTATCTGAATAGTTGTTTCTCCATATGAGACAAGATGTGGTTGGGAAGGACAAGAACACACAAAAAAAGTCTTCAAATAGCACTGCAAAAAGTACTCCTTGGACATAATAAAGGTTCATTACACAGATTAAAGGGTTGTAATATCTAGCAGCAACACATGTGCTTTGCCAGAGGTTTAGAAAACTTTTTTTTGCTTGAGTGGCATCGAATAAGATTTATGAGAGGGGAATAGCATCTTCTGATTATAGCAGATGAGACAGCAACAGATATAAGTCTAGGACATTAATTCTGACAGGTGTAGTGGCTGAGCGATATTTGGAGCTGTTGTACTAAACTAGGTTGTGTTCCCAGGTGTAGCCTTGTTTGACCTCCGTCAATGTATTCCAGAAAAATACATATGAATGTTCACATACAACATGAATGTTGTGGGCAACCACAGAGTAATGGTTTTAAAGTGGACAAGAGGTAGTATAGACACAGATTTAGACTTTATATTCTACTAACTCAGTATGTTCTTCTATAAGCTGCAGCAGAGGTGCTGGAAGTCAGGAAAGTAGCAGGAATCATGGAGCAGCAATACTATTGACTTCTTACCTAATTCGTATTTTAGAGATTCATCTACATAAAGAGATTATTCTTACTACCCATAATTTCATCAAAATTGCCTCAAATTCTGTTTAAATTCTCCTCTTAAAATGGGAAATTGTTGATGTCTCTGTATAATTTGCTAAGAAATTTGCCTGCCTTCCTTGAAGAAATACAATAATTTGTCAAAACTTAATTCTGTCTTGCTTTTATTTATCCTAGCTGTTGTCTATAAATCACAGAACACTGATTTATATGAGACCAAGCTAACAGTGATATAGCTCAATAATATTAAATTAAAAAAAGGAACAGAGCATGAAAGAAATACAGTTAATTGCATCAGATTATGTCATTAGGCAAAAAAGCGCAGGTTCAAACATCCCTTTGAGCCCAGAAGAGAAGACATGAAAATGCTGGCAAACTGAGAAAAATATGAAAGAAATAAGATCTAAAATGATGCTGATGACACAGCTTTTTAATAAAGTTCTCTATTTCACAATGTAGATTAATTTGTATTTCTTCCTGGAGGTTCATTATAAACTTGTGTAATTCCTTCTTCCAACCTCATCTTGTCATTTAAAGAGCAGCTTTCCAGTAGTCCAAAGAGAACACCTTAAACAGTCATGCAGATATAATGACGGGAACAAAGTAGCAGATCTGAAATATCTGGTGCCAGTCATTTGCATTACAGCTGCACAGTGTTTAGAACACTGTAGGAATTTATCTGCAAACATTTTTGTATGATAAATATAAACAAGAGAAATAAAGTTATTATTTAAATAAACCCACTTGTTAATTTTTTTTTTAACAACAAGTGAGGGGAAAAGTTGTGGTATATGTTTAAAATAAGACATTTTAATAAAACTCATCAAAGCTTCAGAGAGAATGAGAGAAAAACATTTTGGCATTAACTCTAAACTCAGAGAAAATTCTTGGTTATGACTTCTGCTTCTCCTTTCAAATCACAAGAAATTAAACCTCTATTCTTAAATACAAAATCAAAATTGAAAGCATCCAATAATTGGTTCATTAAGCTTACTAGGAAGGAATGGGAACTGTACTGATATGCATGCTAGTTTTATTTTGACTTTTGCATATTTGGTGAATTTTGTAACATGGTAAAATAAAAAAAACGAGGCAATAATTTTCTCCAATAAATCTTCAATGTAACTAGCTACATAAAACAGGTGAGAAGATGGTCTTTTTGCTTACAAATGTGTTGCCGATGATGAGTAGCCTCTGAATTTTCCTTACAAAGCATCATAAAGATTTGGAATATAATGGCTTTCTTTGTATTACCGTAGATGAACCCCACGATCATTTTGCCAGCCCATAAAAAATCAATATGTAGCATTTGTAGGATTACCACAATTTTTAATCTATCAGTTTAAAAAAAAAAATCAGACTTGCATAAGCTCAGTGTTCTGCAAATAGGATTCCTGTCATATAATCAGTTTTAACTCATACCATAGTTTTGATTTTGTCTTTTAAACACATCTATATTCTTCTTAAATTTTTGTCTTGAAATAGTGTGTGTTTATCATATAGCCATGGAAACAAGAATATTGTGGTCTAGAGTGTTTGATGGTAATCTTTATTGAGTTGAATTAAATTAATAGTTGTTTAACTTAAATGATCCAAAAGCACTAAAATTCCACATACTGTGAACAAGGAATTAATTTTTTATATTTTAAAGTGAAAGGTTTCTGAAGTGTCCTTTATATATGTATTGAGGTTGGGCATGGGGATTATACTCATATGATTTGTGTCTCAAGCTAAGATCAAAACCATCAATGCTTCTATGTGAAGGTGTCAATGAGGAAATGAGCAATTAAAGTTTTAGACATATGAGGGGCTAATGATCCAAGGTTCAGTAGCCAAGCGACAGCCATGCAAAGCAAACAACAGGGCAAAAGCCCTGTGATATTTTGTGTTCATAGGAGATATGGGCAAATGAGTCAGAATGTATTTGCAGCAGGAATTAATAATTTAGACTTAATGTATCAACACCACAGTTAAATTCCATCAAAAACAGTGGACAGGGTATCACATCAGATACCCATGAATGTGAGTCATAGGGGACTTTCCTTAGATGGGTATAGGATCTAGTTTGAGGTGAAGTATCAACCAGAGTAGTTTTACTTATTTATCTCAAGGATAATTTCAAAATTTAAATCAATAAATAATTAAAAACCTACTTTTTTTAATATCTGCAAAAATCCTAAGTCAGTGTTTCTCATTGAGGTCCTGAGCCATTTGTCCCTTGAAAAAGAAGGGGCAGCTCAAGATGCAGCAATATGATATTTCTATTGATAATATAGCAGTATAATTATTTGTCTTGGAAGACAGGGATTAAGAATGAGGGAGGTAAAAAAGTATGTCAGGATTAGTACATATAGGGAAAAATGGATTTTTAATTTTGATCATGTATCAGTAATGGGATTATTAAGATATTCCTGCATAACATTTGCAATCCTTTTGCATTTACTCTGTATTTCTAAAAAGTCAAAATTACATGGTTAAATGATAATATTTGCAGGTTTTTTTATTCAGCACATTGTTATAATAGATTTCTGTATGCGGACAATAGTAATGAATAGTTTCTTTTTATTTTAAAAGAAAAAGTTGAACTAGACCTTGAAGGATATTGTCTTCTTTTTCTCCTTTTTTCTTTTCCTCATAGGAAAAATAAAGACCTATACTCACTTTCAAAATACATAAGAAAAATGTTATAACAGGCATTTAACTCAACTATTCTGAAGACCATTTTCCTGACATAAATATTTCATATGCAGATCATCTTCTATTCCTACAGACTATACATAATGACTAAAATCAATTGCAGTGATTTAAACCAGCACCTGCATTTCTCTTATCTCGTAATATGTAGAGATATACATTCTCATGTTTTGATTTACTAATCCATGGTACCTGGTTTGAACGATTCCAACAAAGTTAATAAACTGTAAAACTAAAAGTATGTTATCGAACTTTTCATCATACACAGAAAGCTATTTTATTGACTTTATCAAACTATTATTTAGAGTCAAGTGTCCATTCTTAAGATATATTTTATACCTAAAAAAACCCTGAAATATCCTAAATTATTCTTCAGTGACTGATCTTTCAGTGAGCCTCTGTTCTTGGCCTAGCATGAGTGAAAAAGGTTAATTTAGAATTTCACCTTACATGGGAAGGCCTGCAGTCCCTCCAAAAACAGATGGCCCCAGTCACCATTAAGCTCCCTTTACTGTCCATGATTCTGAGGCAGCACCTCTAGTGTCTCTTTCTCTTTTATTCTGCACTTTAGTTTACTACTTAGTTTTTAGTTCACCGTGTTTTTTCTTTCCCTCTCTCTCTCTCTCATTCACTTTCTTCTTTTTTTCACTTTCTCTCTTACTGTCAGCCTGTTTGACCACCCATTCTGTCTATCTCTCCCTCTCTTTTGATTCAGTCTGTTTAATCATAGCAGATTATTTATTGAAATTAGTTCCTGGTACTGGTTAGTTCTAAGATACAAGGTTCTCTTTTCATCTACTTAGAGGCCTAAAATTACTGAAAACTAGTTACTTAGTCTGCTGAAATCTATTCTGCCATGCTAAATGGGGAAGAAACTCTCCCAGTATGCAACAGACGCAGATTTCTGAACGCTTGTCAGCAAACAGCTTCTTCTCAGCCTGTTGGAAACAGCTGAATCTCCTCAATCATAGAATCATAGAATGGTTTAGTTTGGATTGATTATTAAAGATCACCTAGTTCCAACCCATCTGTCATGGACAGGTACACCTTCAACTAGACCACGTTGCTCAAATCCCCATTAACCTTGCCTTGAACACTTCCAGAGACAGGGCACTCGCAACTTCTCTGGGCAACCTCTTCCAGGGTCTCACCACCCTCACAGTAAAGAATTCCTTCCTATTATCTAGTCTAAACCTACTTTTTTTCAGTAGTAGTTTAAAGTTCAAATCTGTTTGGAGCTGTTCTCTCTTGTCCTATTTCTACATGCCCTTGTAAAAAGTCCCTCCACAGCTTTCTTGTAAGCCCTCTTTAGGTACTTGCTTTACCTTACCCTTTAGGAAGGCTGCAATAAGTCTAATATGTCAGTAGGAACATTATCAGATCAGCCAAGCAGCTGCAGAGATTTCCTCTTGATTGAACTATTTATTTTGTGCTCTAGTTTTCAAAAAACTAGTCAGTTTAAGTTCTGTCCTAAATCTAAGAAAACGGAATGCGAGGAATATGTTACATCAAAGTTTGTATACAGTCTGCCTGTTCAGGTGGCAACCTTTCAGCAAAATAAGGCATCAAAGAAATTTACTAAGATGTTTATTGCCAAACTAAATTTATATCAGTGCCCACTTTGTAAGTTCTATTCAGTCTGATATCAGTTCTCAAGTGAGCTCTTCTACAGTATTTAATATCCTGGTCTTGCATAACTTTACATTTATTGCTATGATAGTGTAGAAACCTGAGCCATTATCCAGGGGGCAATTAGTTTAAACAGCAGCAACCAATCCATCATTTCTAACCTAACCCTCAGCAACTCCTGGCACCAATTAAATTACCTGTGGAACCAACATTTGAATCACAGTCAGGGTAACAGATAAGGATTGGTTCATTTAAAAGAGATAGGAGATAGAAACACTAACACTCTTAATCAGCACTGTGGATTACATGTGCTTCAGTCATATGAGAGGGTAAAAGCAACACTGCCACAGAAATCCATTATCTACACATCCAACCATGGAAGAAGCCATAAGCAAATCTGATCCTTATTGCAGCACCTCAACACCTGTTGTACATTTTCCTACACTGAGAGAGGTTAATCGGTTTATTCAATGTATTGAAAAGAAATTAACTTTTTTTGGCTCTTTGAAGGAGTACAAAAATCTTTACTTGGTTACTATATCTCCCTGACCACAGTAGGTTGAGAATCTGAGGAGGATCCTGTTGCAGTCATCTACAGATCTTTGGTATCATACTGCCAAGGACTCAGCCTGGTACTTTCTTATGTACCTTGCTACTTTTCATTTATCTTTATTAGGAGGGGATCCTGGCAAATCTATGGATGATGAGTAAAAATTAGCTTCTCTAACAAATGCCAGAGCAAGAAATGGGAACAAGTGGCTTTCCCAGTTAAAAGTGAGCATTGGAAAGGGAGCAAGACACGCTTAGAAGATGTGAGCTCTTCTCTGATGAGGATTCCACACACTCCCTCTCAAAGATTCTGGGCTGAATTATTTTGTGAGCAGAGCAATGACTCTGTATTTTCACACAGATGCTCTATGCAATTCTTTGGTTGATAGATGTTCTTCTTGCATACTTGGGAATATTTCATCTTCCTCTGGACATTAGACCAGAAACGTGCTTTTCCATTTATCATTATTATGCCTGGAATTTAGAGAATGTTGGAAAGAAATTCAGAAAAAACCATCACAGCAGTATGAGTTTAATATTCTCAATGCTCAGACCTGATGAAGCTGTTATTAGAAAAGCAGTCCTCCAGGTGAATTTTGCTCACCTACTTCTTCAGAACAATGAGCAGGTGGCTTCCATGGAGAAAAAATGCTTTGGAGCCATTGATACCACTTATTTGTGAAAAACATTCACAAAAAACTAACACTAAAAAAAACTTGCAGTGATAGGGAGTTAATAGGTCTTTGAGATATGAGATACCTTGCATTACCCATCACCTCTGCAACCACCAGCAGCAGTTTTTGACCGTGGTAACCAATGATAGTGAGTCTAGATTACATATGGTTGTCATTGCATTGAGTCACTTTCTGAAGCAAGCTGTCTGTGATTCCTTTTCCCTCCTGTGACAAAATTTCTAAAAAGGATTCTCACAGTTTTTCTCCATTCAGACAACCTTTTTTTCCCCCAAAGAAAACATTTCCATTTCAACAGTGTTACTGTTGGCCCACACAAACCCTCTTTTGCTGTGGTAATGGCTGTTATATGAACCTGAAAATTTCAGCTGCTCAAAAATCTTCTAATATTACCCTGACTTTCTTCTATATTAACCTTTTATGTTGACCAGTTTTTGAATCCTCTCATTCAACATTTTGGTGCTCAAGACAGCTATGGTCCTGAGCTAACCATGCAACAGTCCTTTCAGTCAAGATGATAGAACAGAAAAACATTCTGACCTCATAAGTAGTTTGAACCACCAAAGAGAGCACATAGATTTTAGTATGTAACTGCTTTTAATAGTACCACGTATGTCCATTCTTGTAAATAGCAATATGACTATATCTTGACTACTGTGATAGCATTGTAATACACCTGAAAAAGTTTTCCATCATAAAGATATTTAGAAATCCACTGCTGAGTTAGAAGTCCTCTCTTATTCCAAGAGTTTGGATTAAAACTTTACAAATCAGTCACAATTCTATAAATGGTCTAGACTCTAGTTGCACCATTTTTGGTTCATAACTTACCCGCTAAAACGATACTTAGTTTGGGGGTGAGTATTATGGGAAAACAGTTTCAGTCTACAAAAAAATCCCAGATATATAAAATGGAAAAAATATTTTGGGTAATTTTTATACCTGCCCTATTATGGAGATACAGCTGAAGTGAAACTAAGTCTAATGGTTACTCATTTGCACTGGGACTACTTCAAATCTGTAGAACTTAAAACTTTACAGACCTTTTTCCCCCCATTTTGCTATAACTAC